AGTAGGCTTCATTCCAGATGCAAGTCTGGTTCAACATACACAAGTCTATAAACGTAATCCATTAACAGAACCAAAGACAAAAACCACATGATTAACTCAATAGATGCAGAGAAGGCCTTTCACAAAATACAACAGCCCTTTATGCTAAAAACTCTGAATAAACTAGGTATGCAAGGAACATATCTAAAAACAATAAAAGCTATTTACGACAAACCTACAGCTAACATCATATTGAATGGGCAACAACTGGAAGCATTCCCTTTGAAATCCGGCACTAGACAAGAATGCCCTCTCTCACTACTCCTATTCAATGTAGTATTGGAAGTTCTAGCCAGAGCAGATAGGCAAGAAAAAAAAAAAATAAAAAGTATTCAATTAGGAAAAGAGGAAGTCAAATTTCTCTATTTGTAGATGATTGTATATTTAGAAGACCCTATCTTCTCAGCCCAAAATCTCCTTAAACTGATAAGCAACTTCAGCAAAGTCTCAGGATACAAAATGAATGTGCAGAAATCACAAGCATTTCTATACACCAATAACAGACTAACAGGGAGCCAAATCATGAGCAAACTCCCATTCACAATTGCTATAAAAAGAATAAAATACCTAGGAATACAACTAACAAAGGATGTAAAGGACCTCTTCAATGAGAACTACAAACCACTACTCAAGGAAATAAGAGAAGACACAAACAGATGGAGAAACATTTCATGCTTATGGTTAGGAAGAATCAATATCGTGAAAATGGCCATACTGCTCAAAGTAATATAGATTCAATGCTATCCCCATCAAGCTACCAATGACCTTCTTTACAGAACTGTAAAAAACCAATTTTGGTTCCAACTTCATATGGAACCAAAAGAGAGAGCCCACATAGCGAAGACAATCCTAAGCAAAAAGAACAAAACTGGAGGCATCACACTACCTGATTTCAAACTATACTACAAGACTACAGTAATCAAAACAGCATGGTACTAGTATGAAAACAGAGACATAGACAAATGGAACAGAACAGAGGCCTCGGAGGCAATGCCACACATCTACAACCATCTGATCTTTGACAAACCTGACCAAAACAAGCAATGGGGAAAGGATCCCCTGTTTAATAAATGGTGTTGGGAAAACTGGCTAGCAGTGTACAGAAAACAGAAACTGGACCCATTCCTGACACCTTACAATAAAATTAACTCTAGATGGATTAAAGACTTAAACCTAAGACCTAACACCATAAAAATCCTAGAAGAAAACCTAGGATATAGGCATAGGCAAGGACTTCATGACTAAAACACCAAAAGCACTGGCAACAAAAGCCAAAATAGACAAATGGGACCTAATTAAACTCCAGAGCTTCTGTACAGCAAAAGAAACAATCATTAGAGTGAACTGGCAACCAAAAGAATGGGAAAATTTTTTGTTATCTACCCATCTGACAAAGGGTTAATATCCAGAATCTACAAAGAACTAAAACAGATGTGCAAGAAAAAAACAAACCCATCCAAAAGTGGGCAAAGGATATGAACAGACACTTTTCAAAAGAAGAGATATGTGAGACCAACAAACCTATGAAAAAATGCTCATCATCACTGATTATTAAAGAAATGCAAATCAAAACCACATTGAGATACCACCTCACACCAGTTAGGATGGCAATCATTAAAAAATCTGGAGACAACAGATGCTGGGGAGGATGTGGAGAAAAAGGAACACTTTTACACTGTTGGTGGGAGTGTAAGCTAGTTCAACCATTGTGGAAGACAGTGTGGTGCTTCCTCAAGGACCTAGAAATAGAAATTCCATTTGACCCAGCAATCCCATTACTGGGTATATACCAAAACAGTTAGAAATCATTCTGTTATAAAGACACATGCACACATATGTTCATAGTGGCACTGTTTACAATAGCGAAGACCTGGAACCAACCCAAATGTCCATCGATGATAGACTGGACAAGAAAAATGTGGCACATATACACCATGGAATACTATGCAGCCATAAAAAATGATGAGTTTGTGTCCTTTGGACGGACATGGATGAATCTGGAAACCATTATTCTCAGCAAACTGACACAAGAACACAAAATCAAACACCGCATGTTCTCACTCATAGGCAGGTGATAAACAATGAGAACACATGGACACATGGAGGGGAGCATCACACATTGGGTTGTGTTGTGGGGGGCCAAGGGAGTGACAGCGTGGGAGGTGGGGAGGTAGGAGAGGGATAACACAGGGAGAAATGCCAGATGTAGATGACAGGGGGATGGTGGCAGGAAACCACATTGCCATGTATGTACTTATGCAACAATCCTGCATAATATGCACATGTACCCCAGAACCCAAAGTACAGTCAAATAAAAAATAATTTCTTGATATAAACCACAAATATAGATTGCATTCTAATGTAACATAAAATAACTCTAATTTATTTTATGTCATATATACTCTTCTCCCTTTTACATTTTCTTATCCTCTTATATATTCTTTTAAAAATCTTCTAGGACTTCAGAATTGGTACATATGTGTAGTTGCCCTTTACTTTTTAGCAAGTGCAATCATTGGAAATCAACTGAGGTACTCAGTCCCAATGGCTCTAAATTTAGCCTCAATTTAACCTAATACCAAAACAGCAACAATCATAATTGACTAGATTTAGGTGAATATTTCCAAATTCTCCCTGTCACGGTCATCTTTTGATCATCCTTAAATATAGCTGTTCAATACAGTACTGAAATTCAAGTAAAAATATGCAGAAAATGTCAAACCAATGAATTTTCTGTTTGCCTTTAACCTCAAGGCCTTAGGCAGTAAACCAATTATTACAATACAGAGTAATGGGAGTTTTAACAAAGAAACTACAAACATGTCATAATCTTTGAAACATAAAAGTCAAGATTGTCTTTAGAATCATCCTTCAAGTTATAGGAATTTTACATAGATTACTTAAACTATGATGAGTACTCTTGTTTCAAAGATATGATTATTTGCAGGTTCTAGAAACAAGGTATAATAAAAAAAAAATGCCACAATCAGGAAGTTTACTATTAAATTAAATTTCACGAGAATTCCTGAAATCTTTGTGGGAGCTGTAACTAAATACCTTTATAATTGTAGTTATTAGGAGTGCACATCTTTGAGATAAACTCAGTAATTCTTCACAGTCACATAAATATGTGAGGATTTTTAAAACAGTATACAAAACAAAACAAACTGATATATTCACTAACTTCATGGTGATAAACCATGAGTAGGGACTGCTTATGCAAAGGAAAACTAGAGTTTCTCAAAGGAATTAAATTTGGATTTTTCCACCTTCTTCTTTGGTGCAGTGGGGAGGTCTTACAAAAGTAAATATGTAGGTATCTAAATTACAAACACTTTCTATCTCAATACCCAAGCCTCTATTGATTGAGAAGGATCCGAAATTGTGAATGAAAATTCCAAAATAATTCTATATATGAATAAGCTCCAAAATTCTACAATGTCTATTACGTGGTAACTAAAAAGAGATGAGCTAGACTTAGTGATGTTAAAAGAGACAAAATCATTCCTTTCTCTAAAATCCATATCCCTTGGCTCTAAATCCTCTGCTTTCTTGTCATCAGAACATGATCCCATTTTGTGGGCAACAGGGGAGTAGTGCTTCATGTAAGACATTTCAGAGTTATTATGACATACTTATAAATGTAGGTGAAGGACATATATTTTCTTCAATTTGAGATTCAATTCTTGGTTGCTGATGTTCTAATAGAGACTGGTTCCACAGCCAGATAGTCATCATGACCCTCACTGAGTATGTGTCTGCTCTTCAGGGCATTAAATTGGCTTGATACAATGGTATTCTTAAAAAAAAAAAAAAAAGCCTAGAAGACTCTGCCTTGAAGGAGTTTTGCCATCTGTAACCCTGCTGCTAGAGGCAATTCCAGGTGGCAGGATGCGAGCGAGGCAAATCTTATGACATTTAGACAAAGCTGGCAATGAGCACGGCACCCAGGGGGGCACTCAACATCACAGCTGTTCTTTACTTTATGCCTTTACATAGAGGTATGTTCCTAAAAAGTTGTTTGAGAAGTGATTCAGGCAGAATAAATCCAATCATGGCTTACATGTTCATGGGAGGTTGCTATGTATGAGGATTGGAGGAGGAGCCTTCTGCAGTAATCTCTTAATTTACTGGCTCTACAATGCCAGATCATCCTTCATGCTGGCTTTTCCTAATGTGGCTGATCAAAGTAACCCTAAAAAGCGCTGAAGAAGCCTTATTGTTTAGAAAGGAGTAACTTTATACCATTTTCCCTTCTTGCTTTTCTTCTTTTTCTTTTTGTTTTCTATCTTCTGTTCCCTTTGGCTTCTTTAGAATTCCCACAGCAGGGATGGGGAAGACAAAATGACAAAAGGTAGACCTGTAAGTCATGAACTCGGCTCAAGATGGCAGCTCTTCTAAGGGGATTTGTTGTTGTGAGCAGTTAAACTTGTTTGACTTCCCTGCCTAGTCACCTTCCCTCCAGACCTTCATGGGACCTGATCCTTCACCTCATTTGAGTCTCAACTTAAATAATCCTTCCTCAATGAGACCTTCTCAGCCCCTAGAGGCTGCCTGATCCTTCATTGTCTATATACTTTTACTTTTCATCTTACCACTTTTGACATTTCATGATATACTTATTTTGTCACTTGTTAATTATCTAGTTCTAATCGGAAAGTAAATTTCATGAGTGCAGACTGTTTTTCTATTTTGCTGATTGCTTCATCCCCGGTGCCTGACACACAGAAGGTGCTCAAAAAAATACTTGTTGAATGCCTGACTGAATATCTGGACAAAGTATGCACTTGGATAATTTATTCCCCTCATCTATTTCTTTGTCCCTGAACTAAAAACACAAAAGTTGACCTTAGTCCATTTATTTCTTCTGCTTTTACCATAATAAAAGCCTGGTAGAAAACACTCATACCATTTAGAAAGTCAGTATTATTCAAGGCACATACATGCGCAGAGGTGATTACCTGCCCCAGTGGTGGACACCAGTTTGGGCTTGCTGCGAGCGCCATCTCCTTTGGTTGTGTAGGCTGTGACGGTAAGGGAGTAGGAAGTTTCAGGCTGGAGCCCAGAAATGATCATGTCCTGAAATGACACAATAGAATGTCACTGATTCAAAACATGCTACTAATGCCCTAGGGGAAAAACAAGGTCGTCCACCTTCATTCTGCACATGCTTGCACATTCCTTGCAGCCAAGCTAAGCCCTGGAAATTTCATGCCTGAGCTCATGCTATGGAGATCTGTTTTCATGCTGATATCGAAGGGGTGTCTTCAGGCATCTTGGGAGGTAGCTGTTGGCGTATTAGTCAAAAACATGACATCTGGAGCCAAACTTCCTGAATTCTTAAACTTAACCTTGCATGTCCTTACTTGCTTGGACAGACCGAGGAAGTTTACCTCTCTGTGCCTCCATTTCCCATCTCAATGTTGGAATTATAATAGGACCCCACAGGATCATATGGGTCAGATTAGGAAAACTCACAGAACTATGCCTGACTCATGGGAAGGATTCCATAAAAGAGCTGTTGTTTTATGCCAACCGCTCTCCACACATATCCACTGGAAGCCACAGTCAACATGGTCTGTTTTATCACTACAGACGAATTTTACCAAATGGTTGTTGTTGGATCTAGTACCCTGAAAGAAAATTTTCTTAGGACTCTCTTATTAATTTATTGTATTATCATTTTTGTTGGTTATGTGTATAGGCTATGAGAAGAAATCATTATCCACTGAGAATTTTCTGTGAAATTAAAAAGCAGCCCATAAAAGCAAAGAATACAATAGGACTTTAGTTTCAGCACATCACCAATATGTGCTCAATTTATTCTGAGTTTCTAAATATAGTTAAATATCACATACTATTTCCCCAAATTCTTAGCTTTCTCTTAGTCAGGGCCCAAAGCTGTGGCAGTTATAGGACCAGATGATGTTTGATTTATTCCTTTAAACTACAGGTTACGGGATTCTTTAGAGATTCTGGCTATTAATTTGGTCTAGTATTTTAAGAACAAAGACCAGAGCTGCATGCACACATACACAAGCGCACAGGTGCGTGCACACACACATGCGCGCACACACACACAGCAATATAAAAACCCTTTCAGATTTTTGGCACAGCTGTGTTTTCAAATTGAATATGGATAAATTTAGAAAAATACACAATGTCATTGTCTTCCAAATCTAAACACAATGTGATGACGAGCGAATAAATTAGACTGTGTAAAATACAGTAGGGTTTTTTAAGCAAGGCTGTAACAGATACCATAAAATTCAATTGTTGAAGCAGATCCCAAACTATGACAGCTTTTTACAACACGCTTTGTCAAAAGAGTAGAAATATCTCATTGTGGAAATTCAAGAAGTTCAGATATCATCCTGAAGAGTCACTGGAAATTTTATTCTGCTAGATAAATGGACTATCTAAGAGAGATGTTTTATTTCCAGGACCTTGGAATGGTTTCCCTAACGTTACAGAGGATACAACAACCAAGCAAACTATCCAAGCGCAGTACTTTAAATGACAGTAGACACACTGGCTGTCCCAAAAACTATGATGAGTAAATGCCGGCGTTATTGCTTTCAAGGTTCCCCTCACATGCCACCAGAGTGCTGCTGAAAAGCAGCCCAGCTAACTGGAAAAAGAAGCAAGGCTTACTTCCATCACCAAATTTTGTAGCAAGAAATGTGTGCACTCTGAGCCTTATCATGAAATTGGAGTTAACCACACATATCCGTTCTCTTGCCCAGGTTGTTAGAGAGTAACCTACGTAACAATTTGAAATCTGTCAAGTCCCCTGCAGTGGTATAATCTCAGCGGGACACAGCTTCATCTGCTGTGATCATATCCTTTCGCGGATCACATTTTCTTTCTTTAAGTGGTGGATACACTTCCTTCCTTGGTGGTTTCAGAGTGCTCTGTGAGATGATGTGCCTAATATTACGGCCACTACTCCTCGTTCTCTGTTTCCTCCTGTCCTGTCTCCACTTTGCTTCTTGTCCCTGACTGTTAAAAGTTGGCATACCTGAGGCTTGGTCTACTGTTTCTCTCTAATATTAAAAAAAAAAACAAAAACTTTAAATAATTATTTCTGCCCATATTCCTGATTTATTTCCAGCTGTGACTTCCGATCTGAGTTCCAGTAGCACATACATTGTAAATATCTGCTGGATGTCTTCCTGTGGCTATCCAGTGTTACTTCAAGTTCAAGTAAAACTTCAAAGTCATTCCCGGAAGTAGGCTCTCCCTCTTTACTTCCGTATTTTAATGAACGGGAACACATCTGGCAAAACTTAAGAGTTATCTTTGACATCTTTCTCTTCCTCAGTTCTTAGCAAGTTTTTGCCCGTACTTCCTTTTATTGATCCTATCATTTTTTTTCATTTCTACTGCCTCAACTCTGTTGAATGTTTATCATTTCATGACTAAATTAGTAAAAGAACTCTTTTTACCTGCTTTTCTATTTGCCACCTTTTTACTCTCTAATCTCTCCACTAAGTCACTGGTTTTTAAACTGCAGGCAATGACCCATTTAGTAGGTAGTGAAACCAATTTAGTCAGTCAAGACCAGAATTTAAACAAACTAACTAACTGAAAATGAAATGGAATAAACTTGAATACTAAATGTTAGTGTTTATTATACATTTAAATAACTATGGTTCTATAAAATGTTTATAAACATATATGTACAGCCAGGCGCAGTGATTCACGTCTTTAATCCCAGCACTTTGGGAGGCCGAGGTGGGCAGATCACCAGGTCAAGAGATCCAGACCATCCTGGCCAACATGGTGAAACCCCGTCTCTACTAAAAATACAAAAATTAGCTGGGCATGGTGGCACGCACCTGTAGTCCCAGCTACTCAGAAGGCTGAGGCAGGAGAACTGCTTGAACCCAGGAGGTGGAGGTTGCAGTGAGCCGAGATCGTGCCACTGCACTCCAGCCTGGTGCCTGGCAATGGAGCGAGACTCTGTCTCAAAAAAAAAAAAAAAACAACAAAAAAAAAAACCCAAAAAACATAGGTGTACATTGACTCATGACATATAATGTATTTCTTACTGTGAGTTATAGTCAAAGAAGTTTACGGTCAAAAACGCTGCTGCACTGGCAATCCCATGAGAACTGATACCTTGGACATAGTTACAATATTCCCCAAAAAAGCCCTGTGCATTGGCAGTAAATATTTATTCAGTGAATGGAAGAATACCTTCCCGACAGCCTTTAACTCATTTTTCTATTTATTTCTTCTATATCGCTCTAATATTGAAGTGTTAAAGACTAACCGACCAGATTTTAAGCTTGACTCTTCTGGTTTTCCCAGTATTACATTATAATTTACCTCTTAGCTATACTTGCCACTAAGATTACGTATATGAAGACTTCATTTATAACAAACTGTCAGGCTCACTGTCACCTAACTATACTACATGCTCAACTGTCTCAATGACTGGTTTTGCTTTGCTCAACTTAAAATATATATATATTTAAAAAAAATAAAAATATATATATATATATGTTCCACCTCCAACTTCCCAACACACACACACACACACACACACACACACACACACACACACACTTTTTCATTTATTCAGTCCTTAGCCATCCCTTAAATTTTCAACTAAGCTACTGGACTCCTTTTACCATCTTGGAACATTGTCTCTGAATTCCTAGGTTTTATTGACATGGTCCACTAATTTACTAATGCATTAGTGGACAGTGTCAATGTCCACTGCTGTACACTGCTTTGGGCCTTTTGCTGCATTTTATGAAACTTTTCAGAAATTGACTCTTCTCTAGCCACCTAGAATGTAAACACTAGAAAGGCAGATGTCATGTCATGTGTCCCTTGCAGTGTAATATACGTAACAGTCCTTCAATAAATAACATAGAGCTTTCATTCAAGTATTTAAAACACATTCCCCCCTCGGCAAGATACCTTCTACTTCTTGGCATAATCCATTTGTTACTCAAATATGTATGTGGAAAGTGAAAAACAGCCACTTCTCGATATAGTTATTCAGTGCCAGATCTACATCTTGTTATCCTCTGGTTATGTAATCCTGGAGTAGGACTTATGAGAAGCCTACACCAAAAAATTTCACATCTCCAGTCTGCCATGCCTCCATTTAAAGCAAGCTTCTCCAACATGCAGCCCAACATAACTCATAAACTTTCTTAAAACATTATGAGATTTTTTTTTTAGCTCATCAGCAGTCATTAATGTTAGTGTATTTTATGTGGGGCCCAAGACAATTCTTCCACTGTGGCCCCGAGAAGTGAAAAGATTGGATAACACCCCTGAATTTTAAAGCATGCCTCCTCTGACTATGTCACAAGGCAGAATTAGTAGCAGCCATCAAAACAAATATCACAAATGATCATTTCTTATGCAGTCAATAGCACCATGCTGATTTCACAAAACAAAAACCAAAATAAAAAGTGCACCACACAGTAAAGATAACTTAAAAAATAATTTGTTAGTTCATGCATCCAAGCAAACTGTGATGACAGATCACAAATAAGTGAAAGAAGGACGTCAGAGGAAACAAGCATATGTAGTCTGCTTTTGACAAAACACTCAAAATTACTCACATGTTCAGTAGTATCATCAAATTCCCACTGATTGAGAATAAGAAGGTTGGGAGAAAAACAAAATAAAAAGAAATAAAATTTTAAGCCTTATACAGGCAATGTTGCCCTTCTTAGATTAAAAAAAAAATAGAATAAAGAAACAATTGAAGCAGGGTGTACAATATAATTCCAAAGAATGTGTGTTTTGCTGCTACCTCCACTTCTACTTAGGAGATCAAATTAAATATGTACTGCTACTGTTATCACTAAAGCCAGCTAATATTCTTTAAATATATGGTTCACTGAAACATACCAGTGAGGCACAGAAAAAGCTAATGTTTCTAATCATGTCCTACTCATAACATTAATTTTGACTTCTATCTTAAGTTATACAATTAAAAGTCACTATTTAGATTAATATTGTTCATTATATTTAACACTTATAGCTTCAGTGAAGTCCTGTGAGATGTAATGAAATTTCAGTGCAGAGTGAAGAAAAATAAATGAGATGAGAAAGAAAGAAAATACACAAGGAAAATCAGCAATTAATAAAGAAAAGCCAATGGAGTTGAGATTTAATGCATTTGGCATTATATAATTTCATTAACTACCATATTTTACAATGGAAATAGAGAGAGAATTACAATTCTATAATATAAAATATCTAAGAACCAAAGAAGACCATCAAAGCACAATGATCATATTGTTTTCTTTTTCATAATTGTAGACTTACAAGATAAAACAAAGCAATAATGGCTTAATAAATTTAAACAATGGTAACTTCCTTTTTATAGGCACTACATAATAATCACTTATAAAAATTAAGTGAATGGGCCATTTCCAGTGTTGAAGGGATAATAGGAAGCTCTACCGCGTTTACAGAAGAGGCCTTGGGGTAGATAAGTGAGCCATGAATCCAGATCCCTTTACTTAGAATGTTTCAAAACTGAAGAAAACAGGAAGACATTTGAGAGTTGACTTGTATTAAGACTTTGGGGTAAGTGCTTTCCTTAGAGCCACAGGGATATTTATTACTCTTATTTTCACAGACAAGAATGTATAACTGGGCAACCTGGTGCCGCAGTTTTCAACTTGCTTCATACTCTTTCCTACTTTCAAACGAAGGCATTTTCATGTGAAATACATTTCAAATTTTTACACACTCCATGCTTTCCCTGCCAAGTCACCAATTTCTTGGCTAATGAAAGCATTCCAATGTTTGTAATATCCCATCCCTATTATATCTCATCACCATTTGACACAGCAAAGGTAAGCTAGTTTATGATTTATGTACAATTTTCAGCATGGTAATTACAAGTTGAAATCATCATCTCCCTTTCAGGAAAATATGTAAAACACAAGGGAATTTATTATGGGACTATCTTTGAATCACCTATAATTTACAAAAAACTGAAAATTTTCAATGCTCTGTTTTAAAAAACTAATTACAAAACCAGATTCTGATATGATATCATAGTTGCAAACCACTGCCCTGAGATGAGTACAATTTCTTACATACTCAACTATTCATTTTTAGTACTTTCTTTTTTTTTAAATCTTGGTTCCACATAAGGATCCCATTTATTCTCTAGGAAACTCTGATTTAATTTTAGTATCGTTGTCATGATCTTCATTTTCTGGGACAGGAAACAATGACTTTCATCAAATATGTAATTTGATGAAGTAGTACTAAATAAAATACTGAGTATCTTTCCCTGAATATAAATGTCTATTCTTCAGGGAAGAAGTCATACATTTAGAAACCAGCACAACTAAGTTCCAAGTCATTTTAGCACTGAAGAAAGCAGATTCTATCAGCAAAATTGCAGCTTAGAATTCTTCCCTTTGACTCAACTAAGTCAATCATTTTTTTGTAAAGGCAAACTCAGATATGGTTGTCAAGAGTTGAAAAATCTGTATTTTAAGGAAACCATAACATGTTTTTAATCAGACTTGAGTGTCATTTCATTTCAATTCCCTTCCTTACTTGACAGTAACTCTGACTGAAAAGATCAATATATATCAATGTATATTGAAAACTAGAATTTCGTACAGGATTTATTAAATGTTGAAAAACTAAAATAAGGCAGATTTCAAGATATCAACCAAAAAATTATAATATAAAAAGAGACACATAATTTCAGAGGCTTACCTGTGCATCAGCCAGCATGACATCTTTCAGCATGGGCTGGCCCTTGGGCTCACCATTTTCCATTCTCACATAATGCACCTGGTATCCTCTTATCTGGCCATGCTGTTTATTGGGCACAGGTGAGCGCCATGAGACTTTAACAGATGTTGAGTTGACAGCCTCTACCTCGACTTTGCGAGGAGGACCACTAGGAACTGGAACAACATCATTGGATAAAAGAAATTATAGGCACGTGTCCCACCCAATCAGAGCATTCTCTGCATTTTCTTTACTTTTCTTTTTTCAAAAAATGGGTAAACCCACTATGTTTCCTTTGAAGAATACAAACATTTTCAACCAATGAAAATGCTTAACCAATCTGCTCTACATTTTAAGAAAAGATCAAAAAACATGACCGATGCAAAAAAAAAAATGGAAGAAAAAAAGAGTATCAGAGAAATAGAAAAACATGTAAAAAATGTACAAAAGCCAAGGAAGATGCTTTGAGGTTCAAAGCATTAAGCACAAAGAAGTAAAGCATTGAAATAATAACAAAAACTGGCTGTTGATTGTTGTGTGTTTTTTAAAGGTTTCTTTTTAAACAGCAGAATAAAAAGATTCTTGATTATATGGATTATCTTCTCTTTTTTTCTCATATCAAAGGTATTCCACACAAAAGATGCCAAAAATTGAATGCTGAGCATCAGTGTCTCTGAAATATGTAAGACAAAAAGGCAACAAAAAGATAAGAAGGTAGTTTTGAAAAGTTAACTTCAAAATGTAAAAGAAGTGACTACAAAAAGCCAAGAAAAACACAGAAGACTTTAGATGAAGGTACAGAGACGGGCTGGATTGCAAGACCACAGGAGCCAACTGTTCTTTTAAAGAGAAGCAAATTACTGCATTGAGATTGAAAAAAGAAAAAAAAAAAAGGCCAGGCTGTAGCAAAGACAAGTCTTTGGCAAAAATACAAAAGTAACAGCAATGCTGGGTAAAAAGATGAGCAGAGAAAAAAGATTACTGTTAGCCTATTGAAAGACAGCAGACCAAGACTGTGTCAGAAGGGTGCAAACTGACGTAGCGGAGGCAACATACCATCTTCATCGGTTCGAATCAACACGGACAAGCTCTCAGGGCCAGGGCCGACATCCGTATGGGCCGTCACAGTGATCCGGTATTCAGTCCATTTTTCCAGCTGTTCCAAAAGGTATTTGGTAGTGTCCGAAGGAATTCCCAAAATCTCGTGAGGCTTGTCATCTTCCCCATCCACTGCAGTATACTTGATGGAGTATTCAGTGATAATGCCATTCTGTTTTTCCACTGGTGGAGGTTGCCAACTTACCAAAATACTAGTGGAACTTGGGCTGGTGCAACTAATGTCTTGAGGAGGAGCTGACGGCTCTTATTTTGGTAGTGAGTTAAAGGAGGATTTAAGTGAAAGGACAGGAGTGGTTGAAAAAAAAATGATAAAACAAAAGAAAAGGCAAAATAAATAAACGAACAATAAGGACAAAACAAAAAGAAGGCTTTGAAACTTAAATTCTAATGACACATCATGTACCTTGGCTTAGTAATATGAATAAACCAAAAAAATGAATTAATGACCAAAAATAATTGTTAAATAATGGGTGGGGGGACTTTGTGAAAATGAAACCTTGAGATAATGGAGCCTCAAATAAAATTACCTACCTGCGATATAAATTCTTCTTCTAAACCAATCCCTCAGTATCTCTCACCCCCACTATACTGACTACCCAACTTCAAAAAAGCTGCAAATAGTGCTAGTATTTACTTGAGGGTCTGACGATGCTTCACAGATGTTTGTTTCCAAGCTTTCACTTTTACATTCTAGAATAAGGATGGCTTACATACGCTACTCAGTTGTGAAAGGCTTTTCAAGTGCGAAAAGTTACAGTAACTGCTAATGCCCTTCTACCATTCCAATTAAAAATAAATAAGTAAACAACAAACATAAAAGGGTTCACTCTATCTGAAAAAAGGAGTTTGCCTGACCAGTTTTAATAATAAAAAAAAAAGTTCACTTAACATTGATCGTAGACCATATACAGTGAGCATGCAGAATCAATAAAGAATGAAAATGCAGAGTCCAAGATTTACCTACCCGAGGGTAATGTCAGGCTTGTTGATTCTGACTGTAACTTGTACTTACCCTACGTCAGCTTTCAGCTTTTTTATTATAACTCTTCTTGAGACACCTTTGCTAGTGAAGAATTAGATCCCACCAGCAAAATTTGGTAAAATCAATAATAATCATTTACCCCTTACAAAATGTCAATAACACAGCCATTAAAAAGAACCTTTTTTTAAAAACCCAAGTATCATATGGAAAAGATGTAACTTATGTGCAAAGTTTCTTTCATTTTGTACATAATTATTCATAGAACGTAGGGTTTCTGTTAGAGTTAAAAGATATACTTTCTTATTGCCCATTGTAAATAAAACTAGTCACTTTCTAAGCAATTATTTTCCAATCAACCAAAAATTATGATTTAAAAAAATTAAAAACCAATAAAGAATAATACAACCATTATTATAAATTATTTTAAACTTAATAATATATGTTCCTAAAAAAGAACTAACAAGTGGGCTAAGATATACAACTCCATAGGCACAATATATATTTTTAAAGGAATATATACGATAGAGTAAATAAAGCAATCCTATTTTTTTATTTGAATGTGGAGTTTGGGGATTTCCCTAGACTTTGTGAGTCTTAATATTATGGAGTGCCAGGTGTATCCAGTTGTTTAGGGGATTATCAGTCTTTCTTAATTTACATGCCTTGTGTTCATTATTACAGTCAATCAGAATAAAAGCTCTCTGTATTGACAAAAAAGAAATCCTCATAGGACAGCCTTGTAAATTTGGAATAAGATTTGCAAAATCACTAAAATCTCATTTTTATTGATTCTGACTAGAGGTTCTTATATCTCAAATTATAAAGCTATTTTATATGCATTATCATTATTCATAATAAATTGAGTTGTTCATGTAACAGCAAGGACTCATTTGTAATTCTTTTTAAAAAGCTGATTTGGTTTTCACTGGGGCTATCTTAACACCTCCTATTTTGTGAGAATATATTCAACACCATTTGAAAATTTTACTTTAATAAAATAAAGAATAGATAAACGTTTGATGTGCTTATAAAAAGTCTATTCAATTTGTCTGTGTGCGTGTGTGCGTATGTGTGTGTATGTTAAAAACTGAGGTTTGTAAATCTTGCAAAATACAGTATTGAGGCATGTAACATTTCTCTTAATTAAATGCTTGGTTTTAAGAAATTATCTTCTACAATACTATTTATTAGCCTGCCTAGAATTTAAAGCAGACATACAGAGAATACATTAATTTACATGCCTCTGTCATTAAATGAGAGAAAATGTTATGGGACTAAAGTATAATTACTAATAGATTAAACATGATCGTAATCACTTTCATGTGAATAATCATGCTTTAAGAGGGAAAAACATAAATTTTATTATCAAAAACTCTTGAAAGATTTCAAGTATCTATAGAAAATAAAATGATTTGAGGTCAACAGAGCATCTTCTTGACAAAATTCAGTGTATTTCTACTATAGATATCTATTGTATAATTCACTATGTCAAAATACAAACACAAAATATTACACAAAGAAACCTAAGAAAATAACTCCACAAACTTTTCACTTCAAGATAAATAGTATTTTTATGGATGAACTGTAGACACTAATAAAAAGCAATTAATAGTATTATAAGCCACCAAACTTGCCATCAAAAACAATGTCCTATATAATACTTTATGCAAAACACTCTGCCCTGGGCAAAATTAACCCCCACTGTGATAAACACAGCTATGCTTAAGGGTAACAGTTCCAAAAAGAAATTGAACCTGAGGAAACAAAATGTAACTTAGAATGGCAAATAGCTCGCAATTATTCCATTGTTTCTAAATTTGTCCAGATATAGATTTTCTCTTAATGTTCCAAATTTCCCCAGGTACTAGTCACAGAGTTAGTAAGAAACAAGTCATAAGAGCTGAGCTTTTCTCAGAGTAGAAATTATTACGTGAAATAAGGACTTGCTTGTTTGCAAAGCCAAAGCCTGTGTGCTTAAAAAAAAGGCTTTTTTTTTTTTTGGTCTTTTGCTGCCTCTTTCATTTGCCAAGCCCTCCTGTGATTATTTTTTAGGGTTCTCAATGTGAATTTTGCTTTAAAGCCTTATCATTCATTACACAGGCCTGATCTAACTCCTTTCATCCACTTTTCACCCATGGAGGTCAACTAACTTCTTTAAGTCTTTCAATGCAGGAAGTATGAAAGGGGGGTCTGTAATTTGGATCAAGTGTGAAACCAAAATAAGTCACGGTTGTACTTTCATCTGTGAAGTGTGATGCATACTAACCTAAAGACTACCATTAAGCATATCAGCAGGTTTGTTTGTTGGTAGAGGTGAAAACTAGCAACATCTCCCAGTGGAAATAAAAAGGCAGAAAGTAAGCAAAGAGAGACACCTACTTGACTGCATGGTTCTAGCTGATATTTCCGCAGTAGAAGCACCCAGGCCTTGGGGAGAGCGTGCAGCCAGACGGAAGTAGTATAAGCTGTTTGGTTTCAGTCCTTGCAACCTATATGATGTCCCTGGCTCAATGGTAATTCGTTGCTGGAAGCAATAAGAGAATGTGGTCATCTTCAGTAAGATTCATGAAAATACTTTTTAATCACACTGTCTGGAACATCAGATTTCTATCATCAGGATTATCATCTCATTAAAATATCACCAAAAGACTCAATAGTGAGCATCCAGGGCTATACTGAGGAAATGATACAAAGAAAATCTGAGTTTAAAAGGCAAGCTTCTACAAAGGTAACTGGAGTAAGGGAAGTCAGAGATCTTTTAAATTTTGACACTGTTCACCAAATACATCATATAAGAGAAAGACTGAGAGACCAGCACCTATGAGTGTGTTCTGCCCTTAAATGTGTGTCTGTTGCTGTGACACAGACCACAACAGAAGCTGACACCTGCCCCTGGGAGTGGAATACGCTCAACATGAGCAATTTTAAGATGTCTACTCATCTCCCATGACCTTCTGAAATCTCAATTGCAGGCAAAGAAAATATGACCAGAAGTAGCAACAGTAACCAGTGTACAATACACAAGCGGTTGCTACAAAACAGATTTGAAATTCCCAAGTTTTGATGGGATAAAAATCACATTAGTCACTAAAGAAAGCTGAATAATTTATCTGAAACCACATTATTACCCTAGGTTGATCAAAATAACTGAAAAACTTCCTTTCTTTCTTTGTGAATATAGACTCCGCAGCCAGAAAAAAAATATAAACTTTTTTTGACAAACTTTCGTGGACTTTTGAAATAAGATTTCATTAATCAAATGCTATAACTCTCACCTCCCATGCTTAACATTTGCCATTTAGCAAAAATGTAAGTGTCTATGGGCAATCAATCTTGAATATCAGCCTATGGCAAATCTCACAATGCAAGTGAGTACATAATCTAGTAATGGTGTATGTAATCTTAAGGCTTTTTATCAAATGGTGTTTGTTGTTCACACAAACAAACCAGTTAAGAAGAATTCAAATACAAAACTAGAGACATCATCCCTAGGATGTTCTGGCTTACAAATACAAAGGTTTTCAGAACTTACAGATCCACCAAATAAGAAATAAAGAAATTCTCCAAATAAGCAATTATAGAGCATAGTAGCTATGCCAACATTCAAGCATCCACAGTACTCTCAAAGGACCACGATTCTCCTTTACTCTTTGTATGTATGTATTTATGTATGTATGCATGCATGCATGTACTTTAGTTTGCTGATGATGTTGTCTAAAGCAATTTAATGCTGATTTATGCCTTACAAAAGACATCAATAGCTCAAGTTGTACCACGAATACTTTAAGTCATATCTGCATTTCACTATATAACTTTTTGAGTACTTGATTTATATTGGCTTTGTTAGCTAAATGTAAAAGCACTGCATTTAAAACCTATTCTTTTGAGATTCTGCTCAATTCAAACAGATGTAATAAAATAGAGTTTACAAGAACATATTAATTTATTATAAGATTCAAAATTACATACTGCAAGTTAATTGATAATAGTTAATTTAGTATGTGAGGGTTTTTTTTTAGATATTCTTTATTAGAACTCAGGGACTGTTTCACTTTGTGAAGATCTTTTTTCAGATTAAAAATGCTAAAAGGCATAATAAAATGACTTGTATGAGTGGAGTTCTCAAATATAGTGCCATGAACTCTTTTTGCCTTAATGTTCCCCATCGGATTTCAAAATAATAAAAGAAACATATTTATTACTATTATGTATTCCCATTCTGCTAATGTTAGATGTATCTCAATATCGATTTCTACAATGCATTCAAACTGCACTCAAGAGGCAGCAGACCCAAACGGTTAACTACAGACTCTGGAACTCAACTGCCTAAACTCAAATCCCAGCTCTGCCATTCACCAGTATGAGACTTTGAGCAAATTATTTATTTTTTTTCCATGCCCCCATTTTATTATATGTCAAAGAGATTAATAAGAAAGTCTAGCTGCAGTACTACTGTAAAAATTAGATGCGTTTTTGAAGGTGAAACCTTAGAACCGTGCCTATTAATGAGTTAATCATATCGATTCTCAGTGACTATCAACAACTGCCGTATCTTCTACAATCTGTTATTTTATTTGCACAGCATACTCAAATGTTATATACACTCACCTTCATACCAAACACTTTTTAGCAAACAAATAAACATTTGCTATGAGAAATCCTTGAAACCGGTGTGGAAAAATTCATCTAGCCAAGGACTTTCATTAACATATAGAGCTAATTTAGTCACCTGTCCCCACAGTGACTTAAATATTTTCATGCAGAAGAGAAAGAAAGTCTCCAAGTCTCAGTGAGTAATTATACTTCCACAACCTGATACGTCTATGGGCCCTGGAAACCTGTTAGAAGCATATTCCAACAGGATCAAGAGTTATTTTGTTTTGTTTCTCCCCAAAACCTCCAAATAACAACTGTTTTTTGTTGTTGTTGTTGTTGTTGGTTGTTTGTTTGTTTTGTGGGGGTGGGGGGGGTCAAGTTCCTCTTTTAATTAGTAAATCTTTTCCAACCAGGTCCTCAGTAGCTATCTGACCAAGAATGTGGTAAATACAAAAAAGAAGAGGCCCAATATAATCAATAATTCCCAGGGTGAGAAGTACTACAGTCTTACCTCCTCTCCGTGCTCCCCATCTTTGTAGACCAGTTCATAGTTGGCAATGGTATCTGAACGTGGAGGTGTCCAAGAGAGCAAAATACTTGTTTCAGACTCAGGTTCTGCTTTGAAGTTTAGTGGCTGCCCTGGTACTGAAAACAGGGAGGCAAAGGATTGAACTCACAATCACCACAAGTATTCACCAAGTTCTTCCATTAGTGTACCTGTTTAAACCTTTTGAAGCCTGCACACATGTATCAGCTTAGTGAAAAACCAAGCTCCTTTACATTGTCCAAGTTAACCTCTTTGTATACAGGGCAAGAACGTGTTATACAAAGAATGTTACAAATCCTGCTCTGGAGTAATAGAACACCTACACAAGATACAGTAAAACTAACAAGTGTAAAGTACATCAGCCTCTGAATTCAAGTTTAAGGATAAAATTCTTTACTTCATGATATAGTTGTAATAAATAATATAATATATATAAAGTGCCTGAAATATTGCCAAAAGCATATTAAGTGCTAAATTACCTAAAAGTACTGTTATTTACAACTGAGTGGGAACTTACTCTCTAGTACTACATGTAACATTCAAAATTATTTCCAATTACATTTATAAAATCCTACCTTTACTTCATTAACAAAACCTACAGGCAACCAGAATCACTTAGCATTTTTTCTTACCAGCCCACACTTTGAACAAGACATGTAAAAAAGGAAAAACAAAACAACAGAACTCTACCACTTACAAATAATTACTTCTAATCTCTAAACTATGTTAAATTATTTAACGCACTTCACCTAATACAAACAAAATATTGTCCCTAGGGCCACGAAGGTAAACTACTACAAAAATCAAGAAGTTTATAGAATACACTTATGATCAGAAATATGGTAACTTACAGAGATCATCTATAATTCTCATATTACCCATGTAATCTATTTAATAGATAATTTGAAAGGGCTGTTCATCAGATTCTTTATTCTGATTCTTCTGTAATAAAGAATCGGAAGTCTATTAGGTTTAAAACACCTTACTCAAATGTACTAGAGTAAGCTTTCCTAACTTAAACTTCCTAGTCAACACCTAAGCCTATCAGTTCCCCTCTATCCATTACATACAAGGCTGAGTCAGGGTGTCAACGGCACATATAATCGTACATTATTCTTGGCCACTGTCTGCTCTGATTGTTGAGTGCCCATGCTTTCCCAGTTGTTAAATATTTTGATCGTTACCCTTGATATTACGGCACGTCTCCATGTGCTGTGGCTGAACATATGTACATATTCCCTCAAATTTAAATGAGAATTCCATTTATATTTAAAGAAAAAAAAAAGAACAACAATACTTCACAGCAGAGGAGTAAAAAAAACATCTAAAGTGTGCTTTAAAACATCTCAAGTGGCAACTTCCGCAAAAACATTTTAAAACACATATAATACAGTGTAATTTATAGTTGAAAAGAAGCCTTTGGAGAAAATGTATTGCTTTCCTTTTCTTTTATAGTTACGTCTCTGTAGCATAGCTTTAAAAAATGCCCTTTGTTAAAGCAGTCTGCAAGAATGATTTGTAGAAGCTCTAATAATTTTATTCCTCTAGTGAGTCTGTGTGTGTGTGTGTGTGTGTGTGTGTAGGAACACATGTTTGGACCGATGCTTAAGGTCACAAATAATCAGTGCTTCATATTTCTAGTTGCCTTCATCATCTTTTCTCTCTCTCTTTTTAAAAATCACAGGCCTTGAGATTCTCGTTGATTTGATGCCTCTGAGAACTTACTTTCTGAACAGAGTATCACATTTTTCCCCCAGTACCTGCCCAGTGGGTGACCTAACACAATCATTCAGATTGAAAGTTGGAGGCAAAGAAGATAAAAGATCTAGAAGCAAGAGGAGGAGGGACAGAGGGGAATAAAACACAAACAGGCAAATTGCAAAGCAAATGGGAAATGCATTGTTTCTAAAAGGGAAATACCACAAGCACTGGCAGAAGCAAAAATGGGAAACAACAGTGATAAGATAGATGGGAAAATGATGACAGAATTGTCATATTCTCATGATGAAAGGGTTTCTCGGCCTAAAAATGCACACATATGCCTATGTACACAGTCATTTACTTTTTCCTAGTTTTATTTGCTTCTTTCTTTCTCCCAATTTCCTGGGAAACAAGAAAGTCTGCGGTAACTCCTGAGTCAAACCAAACCAGAGTACAGTACGGTCAAGAATTAGAAACACAGACGGCATTGAAGGGCTGCTCTCCGGATAATAATTGCTTGTTATGCATTTCCTCCCTGCCTAATGCTAATAATAAATTGACATTGATTGAAAACATCTTGGAAACCTAATTAACTCTTTCTTACTTAAACAGTTTACTTTTTGCTTTTAATTTGTCTTGAGCAAATTCCCGGTTGGTCTCAATACTTGATTCTTGTTTAGGGACACAAGCTTCATCTGATCTTCTAATTCTGTTTGTTTCTATTAAGAACCCCTTCCTTCTAAATAATGACTTAAGTGGTCACATCCACGTCTCAGAGGGTACACTGTCCTTTTAATTCTTGCACAACGCTAAGTGTTGGCTAGACAACTAGATGCAAAGTGTCTTCATCTAACGTACAGGGGGTTCTCTCCCATTCTTTCCTTATCCTTCTTTTGAAATGGTTCGGAGGGTAACTTCATTTATTAAATTTTAAACTTGTGGTGCAGGCTTAGGCATGGTGACTCACACTCGGTAATCCCAGCACTTTGGAAGGTCAAGTTGGGAGGAAGGCTTGAAGCCGTGGGTTCGAGACCAGTCTAGGACAAACAGTAAAACCCTGTCTCCACAAAATAATAAAACTTAAAAAAACAAAATTAGTTGGGCATGGCAGAGCATGCCTCTAGTTCCAGCTGCCTGGAAGGCAGAGGTGAGAAGATCACTTGAGCTCAGGAGGGTGAGACTACAGTGAGCAATGATTGAGCCACTGTGCTCTATCCTGGACAAAAGAGTGAGATCTTGTCTCTAAAAAATTAAATAGTAAACAATGTATAAAATAAACATGTGTTGCAAACAAAAGTGCTTAGAGGTGTCAGAGAATTTAGATGAGTGAAAAGACCATATGGGGGCTGAGGCCCGGTGGAGAGTGACCACCCCACGTGAAGAAGGGCCGCAGGCCATGCTCACTGACAGCAGATTGCTGCTTTGTGAAATGTGGGCCCACTCTTGTCTCAGCTTCAGATTTTCTTCACAGAAGTTGATCATGAACCTTCCAGGTAAAATTTTTCCATTCTTAATTACTAAAAGTTAATTGAATTTTAAAAACACTGTATGGGGCAAAATGTTTCTGCAGGTTAGATTCAGCATATGGGCCAGGACCATAAAATAACCTTTCAGGATCTCATGCTCCAGGCTCGTCAACAGCTTATGGGTGCATTACTCACACTTCCTCAAAAATTGAGGACGTCCCTAAAATATCGCTTCCTCAGGGCATCTGATCAAATTTGAATTCACTACCATGAAGCTGAAGATGCAAAAGAATAGAAAAAAAAAAAAGGCATACAATGAATGGATGTATTTTTTAACTCCCATTATTAGTCCTAAAGGGTACAATACGTGCATATAAGAAAACTCTTTAGGGGAATCAGACTGTCATATTTGTTTTCTCTGTAACACTTAAGACATAGAAGTACTTTCATTAACCGTCAATCGAATTTTTATACCAAATCTTGTGGCTACAGAGGTTCTACTTCATATTTATTATATTAATGTTTTCTCTCTATGTATGTTTATATGTATTTAAACATACAAATGCATAAACGTAAACATTTACTTAGATTTTATTTATTGTTTATTTTGAGACAAGGTCTTGCTCTATCACCCAGGGTGGGCTGCAATGGCACAATCATGGTCACTATATGGTTAACCAAAGCTGTGACCTCCAGCTCTCAAACGCTCCTTCTGCCTCGACACCCGCCCCCCTCCCTCGAGTAGCTGGGACTACAGGTGTGTGCCATAACATTCGGCTAATTTTTCACTTTTTCTTTGTAAAGACAAGGTCTCAATATGTTTCCCAGAGCGGTCTCGAATTCCTGGGCTCAAGGGATCCTTCCACATCGGGCATCCAAACTGCTGGCAGTGCAGGTGTGAGCCACTGTGCCTCGCCTTCCCACATAGATATTTTATGCTCTCGCAATCATTACATATCACACTTTCTCACTGGCATATTTTTTACCTTCACTTACCAGTCCCTTGTCTATGTATATCTTATTTTATTAAAAATAAGTATTTTATTTTTATTTTATTCAAGAGCTCTTCTGTGTTGTAACATTTCTTTCACATTAACTGAGCATAAATTTTATAAGGAAATTTGAGATTCTGGGAAAATCATGGGCAAAGAAAAACAACAAATCCAGACCTTTAAGCACAGTCACTCCATATTCAAAGGAGAGATATGATATTGACCATAAACCAAATTTAGAATAGGACATGGAAAGCAGAAATAAGTAAAAATTTTAATTTAATATATTTAAGAAGTCATTATATACTGTAAAGGTAAGTCTTTCCTCTTGATTACTTATTTAATGTCCACAAGGAAATAGATATATGAGCTATCAAGTCCCTAAAAAAATATTATAATCCCACTGATACATGTTAAGTACTTGAATATTACTATAATTATACTCTCTCTATATATGTGAAAGCAACTCAAAGAAAAAGGATAAAAAAAGAGTAACAAAGGAGAAACCTTCACATTATCTGAACTGCTGATATATTAGAAGAGATTAATATTGGAATAAAATTTAGAGATTATTCCTAAAGAAAGGTTGACACAGATCACACTGTAAACAACAGTTTCATCTTGCTATGGTAAAAATGTGAAATATGACCAAAGAAAACCCATGATTGCGAAAATATCTAATATTTTAATAAGGTACATATTTTAAAATGTGTGTATCTAGCATATTGAAAAATGATAATATTAACAATAAAACTAACAGCCAGAATTATAATGGTAGTAAAACAAAACAAAATTCAAAACAAAAAGTCTGATCTGTAAGTGTTACAAATATATCATTGACAAAATAAGTACTTAATACATGAGCATCGGCACAAATCTTACTCTCAACTGTCATTAAATATAAAGGAGAAAAAGTTAAATTTTATTATAGTTGTATTT